CCCCGCTAGCGGTATACGTTCCTCCAGGATCAGGACCATAAAGCCTGGTGCACGCTGTTAACACTGAATCTGCATGCATATTTTTTAAATGCTGGAGTTAAATAACGTGACGAGCCGGTGGCTTCATACCTTCAATCACAACGTGGCGAACTTCTGCAGCATGGTTCATTTCATAGTTGTCGCATGTTTCACGCCCCTGCGCCTTATAATGTCCACGGCAGTGCTAGACACGATGGAAAGGACTTTTTAACCATCCTGTACTTCACTTTATTTTCTACATGGTCCGCTCTCACAGCGATCGTGTTCCAACTTGCATTATGACGCAGAAGACAAGTGTCTCATGTTCACCGGACTTCAGACCTTGAAAACGTGATACAAGGAAGAACTACATCACAGTCACTCGTACAAGATAAGAAGGTCACACTTATCAGCAAACAAGGAATGTGTTTTAGCCACGACTTGGGCCCTTGTTCTCGTAGAGGCGAAGATCCAGACCGTCGTAGTATATCTTGGATTTTCTATTTGCCTTGCCTTTGTATGTATACACTTCAGGATCGAAAGACGCATAGTGCGGTGAAGCCTGACGGCTCTGCGTCTGAGTTGCATGGTCAGACGAACTGTTTTGTAAGAATAGGATATACATGTGTCGTAGGGTTTCGTGGAATTCAGGGGGATTCCGAATCTCCCTTGGGTGAAACAGGATTCCACTAAACCCGCGGGTTTAGCGGAATCCTCTCGAAAACCTCCATTATGTCACCTCCCCCTAGGGGATTCCAAATCACCTGGATTAGCTGCCAATGCTTCCATCATTTTGTTTACCCCTAGGGAGAAAGAGAATCATCAAGACACCCGGGGGGAAATGGAATTTTTATATCAGTCCATGGATAGAAAGAACAAAATCAACGTCAACAAGATTCGAAGCGGAATCTTTATTACACTTTATTACATTACACTTGTCTTATTTTGGGAGGTTGCACGGCTTTTCCCCGTGACACTTGGTTGCGCATGTTACTCCCATTTTTTTTGCACTGCACCTGTTTGTGCGACAAAGACTTGTTGCACTTGCAGGTGGATCCTGCACCCCCACTGGCGTAGCTTGTTTCTGCCGGCAGGCACATCGCCTTCGTTGAAGCAACCACTGTATTCCAAGCTTATCTTTCTTCGTTAGTGGCAGGCAGAATCAGGCGCGGTATTCTCACTGATTCTCACGGCGCCAATTAGTCTATTCCCGACTAAAGTTTTCGAATACTTCCAAATAAAGATGGCTAATAAGTTTAACTGATGAGGTTTTGAGCATTAAATTCTAGGGTTTTGCCCTCGCCCATTACGGAAAGGGTTATAAAAACCACTAGGGTTGTCATCGTGTGATATGGATTTTTTATGCATTTTCTTCGTATGCGTGTCCTGCGGATGTCGTGGCGGCCATGGAAGGATTCCACCAGAATCTGGCAACCCTGCGCATTCTCTCCCAAAAGGGTGGCATTCACATGTCAATTCCAGTTAATCACTTTATGGCTGCTCACAATAAAAGTGTGAGGGGGATTCCATACCCTAAAAATTTGGTCGGGAACAGACTATAACACGGTATTCTTCAGCCTTAAATCATCCGTGAACGCTAACGAAAGGAGAATTGCCCGAGGCGGGACAAGCCGTGGGAAAAGTAATTCTTCAGCCAGGGAGATATGGGATCTCCCTAGGGTGTAGTGACATTGACCAAACTTTGAGAGGATTCCTCTAAATCCGCGGGTTTAGTGGAATCCTGTCTCTCCTTAGGGAGATTCAAAATCCCCCTGAATTCCACAAAACCCTACGACATATGCATTACGTTTCATCAGCTTGTTCTCCGTCTTGAGAGAAATAAGTAATGTCATGAAAATAGAAAAGAACAAACATTTTTATGATATGAAAGAAAGTGAGGAAATGAATTTTCCCGACAGCCCGCAGAAACATCTCACCAACTCGATTGCAATCATAGAAACTAATGAGCAATGATTCCAGCTTCTATCCGTTTTTACTCTGAAGAGAGGGAAAATAGAAACAAATAACTTCAGTCCTACCTTACTTCCGCTCTTCCAGAGGAAGAAAAATTGGAGGGAATATTAAGCAAAAAGGAGAACAATTCATTCTTGGAAAAGAGGAGAGCGATAACTTTGAGTTATCATCCGACTTTTTCTAAGAATGTGTCCATACTCCTGCACACTTATCAGTCAGCCCCTTCTATGGAGGCCCACGCCAAACCAAACCGTGGTAGACGATGTATGCAAGTCTGTTGCCAGGGCCAAATTCATGACTAATCCGGCTGCCATAAAAGTACACCGAGAGAAAGGTGCAGATATCAGGAGCTACTGCACTCACCGATATATTCAGTCCCTTGTTTGAACTGTAAGCTCAACGTTTGCGATCCCGTGAAATGGCTTCTTCTGCAGGACAAGTTAGTTCCTTTTTCATCTCTGATATACATGGGTATAAGGATTTATATCCCTTTCGTGCATGAATTTTTAAAGCAAAATAAAAATATGCCCTTCATGGTTTAACGTTTTAGGAGGTACTCTGCCGTAGTAGTCGAATACTGCTAGAAAGAGACACTGAACAGATAATGTGCCCTTAAGTTGACTGCACGCACCAATAGTGCCATAGCTGAAAACTTATAATTGTCGCCAAAAATTTTGCCTTCCACTACAGTGGACACCATGCACGAAAGGGATGTTCATCATAATGCGAAAAATATGATGGGATTCGTTAATGGTTAATATTTCTTATACCGAATCCCCATCATCCGTAAAATATTTTTTGTTGTCGGCATTATCGGAGGAAAAAGCAATTTTCACATTTGATATCGGGATGTTGACAACCTTTCAATATTCCTCGGATTGCAGGTGATAAAATGCTTAGCAGCGGTGGCATGGGAGGCAAATAAGCCCCTAAGTATTGAGACCGTGGAGGTGGCACCTCCAAAGGCACACGAGGTATGTCCCATCCGTCATTCACTTAGCAACTGTCTAGTGTGTATTCCCCCCTCCTCCCATTCCAAATAAGACTATTCTGTTACTCACTTTGTTTACTGGTACTCCTCTATTCAGATGCCAGTTACATCAAATCCTCTTCTCTCCACAATTTTTGTCATCATTCGTTAGTATTTAAAGCCTACCGTTCGGTTTGTTTAGATCAAATTACGTGAAAACCTCATTGTTTGATATATTTCTCTTTTGCGCGGGGCTTTGTTCAACTTAACTGTGCTATGTATCAGAATGATGCTGCATTCTCGCGATTACATTATACAGTCCCTGGACCTGCTAAATTGCGCAGGGACCAAACATATAGCATTTACTGTACATGATAGACTGTTTTTTAAGTATACATTTTACATTCAATAGTTACGATGGATTGTAGATGTGACATTTATAAGATATCAACTGAATCTAGTGATATAATCATTTACAAAACCCTTAATCAGAGAACTCCTGTAACGTCTGACATCGAGATATTAAACCAAACCCACAATCTTACGAATTTATGTTTCACTTATATTTTCTGATTAAGTTATTTTTCCCCATCTTGAGCGGAATGGAACTAAAACTTGAGCTTCCATACAAGACCTGATATCATAACATCATCCTGAAAGTTTCTCATTAGCATCGACGTTTACCCCATGCCTAAAGGAGGGGGCCAGCCAGCTGGATGTAAATCTAAGAAAGGAGGCTTTCACGAACGGTGTAAGATGGCTTCTCAATCGTCCGCATGGCGAGGTGTACACTATCTCCCACATATGAGTGTCATTATGAGAGTCATTATTAAATCCGCAATATCCGGGGGATGTAGTCATTTGCCTTTGGTCTCCAGGGATCGATGAGCAGAACTATTCGTGTTCGTGGAGTCCATTCGGCTGTCACTGGGAATTTTCAATTTCCACAGTGACAGTGAAGCAATGCATGGCTCAGGCCACATGAGAGTCAGATGATGAACGCGAAGCTTAGGATGGATTTTTGAACAGAGAATTATCCGATAATGCAACTTTGTTCCAAGGAAAATACATTATATTTCCTGGAAATATAGCAGCATTATCGGATAGTTCTCTGTTCAAAAATCCACCCTTACAGCCCTCATCCTAGCACATCGTGAACCATTAATCCCACGTAATAACGACAAAGAAAACCCGGAATGAATGCCATGCAGGCGTTCAGAGATTATTTTATTACCACAAATACGTCTACACGTAGGTAATCCATTGGAAGTCACTAGTTAAGTCACTACCAAAGTCAAGGCTCAAATGCAAGTACTCGGAGGTGAAGGAAGCGCTCAGGACGTCATGGAGGACTGGTCACCTGTTATTTGTATACATGTATGCTACTCCACTCTAAAAGGAAAAGGTATACAGCACTTGTCGCTCTTGCGCAAAAATCCCAGAAGTACTTTCAAACAAACCGCAGAAACTGTCAATTAGGAAGTTCCAGGGAGTATAAAAATATAGAATTCTACATAATGAAATCTACTGTGGTCCGTGGTGGTGGTGGTGGGCGATGGCATGCGTGCGTACACACACACATGACTCACGTGGGCTCTCCCAAAGCCACAGTAATAGGTTCACATAGCGTGGCCAAAGGTCACTAACGTTCGAAAACGTGCGCGGCGAGTTGCGATGTCCGCAGAGCAGAGCGAGGCTGTCAATTACAACCCACATGCCACATTCTCCTACAAGGCGACGATTCAAAGTTAATGTCTTGATATGTGGGTTCCCCTTCGTTTTCGCTCGGCGTCGGTTCCCCACCCATCCCGCCTATTCCGCAGGGGCAGACCAAGAAATTATGGCTGTTTTGGAGGCGCCCTGTCTCCTCACATGGCCAGCCAGTTGCGAATCCAGGGAGGGGATGTCAATTTGTCCATTTCAATACTTTTGGCATGAGGCTCAACGTCAAAAAATTGCTGAAAACTTTCTTTGAATTCTGATGCGACTCTCAAAGATCCAGATTGCAACTTCTATTCCTCGCTCCAGCCTTCTTCTCATGACAGTGAAGGCAAATTAAAGGAAATAATTGCTTGTTTCTCGAGTCTATCTGAAATTTGGGGAGAAAAACGTAAAGTTTAGCAATTTTGTAGAAGAGGATTCAAGCAGTACCAAAAATGTCCCTTAACAAGTACATATTCCTGATATGCATTTTAAGCTATTTTTGTTTGAGTCTGATTCCAAGAAATTGTCGCGAGATAAATTCTAAGGAACGTTCTTTCCATCAAAACCAACAAGAGTGACCTACATGATTCAGTTTGTAAAAATATTTCAGTTTGAAATGGTATAGTGGCGTATGGGACACCGCATGTAAACACGTTCAATACTTTATCCCTGAAAGGTGCGGGTGAAAATCCATTCGACGGGCGTGTGCCATACGGATGCGTCGACGTTGTGGGGTCGTGATCCCGAGGGCCCTGGTGGTTTGTTCCCTACCATCTTGGGTCATGAGGGGGCGGGAATAGTCGAAAGCATTGGAGAAGGCGTCACCAACGTCAAACCAGGTAATGTGTATATAGTAAAGAAGTAGAGTGTAGTCAAAATAAAAAATTATATTGCATGGAATGCATTCATGGATCTATAAGTCACCATAGCTATTGCAAGAATATTCTGAGATGACGGAAATCTCCCAATATGAGATGAATGAAATTACGCAGCCAGGATAAATTATGAAAAAAATAATGTGTAGTAAATTCTTCTAAAACACATGTCGTCTTTAAATTTCATATACGTATACATATTTGTTTAATTTTGCATAGGGGACCACGTGATCCCACTGTGGCTGCCGCATTGTGGTGGTTGTCGTGCATGTGGCAAGACAAACCTGTGCGAGAAAGTGTGGAAGATGATGGGGAAAGGGGTGCTCCTGGACGGCACCTCTCGGTTCACCTGTAAGGGGAAGACACTCTTCCACTATATGGGAACCTCTACCTTTTCTCAATACACTGTTCTTCCCGATATATCAGTCGTCAAAGTGAGATTTATTTTATTTTTTCTTCAAACCTATCGATTGCGTGGAATAATTTAGTAATCATTGCCTTTGATTCTCTTGAAGGTTAACGGGTATCGCAAGGAAATTTTTCTTATAGAAACCACCGATATGGTGAGAAGCACAGTTTCACATGCAATTCACTCCCATCAATTGCTTCAAAATCGCTAAAGCTTCTCTGATTCATCCTGAGATCCAACCGCTTCATGTAAGAGAGCGGTATGGTGTTAAAAATCCTGAAAATATAAGGTATGAATTGTGACATGATTTTCCTGATTAGGGGTGGCGAAATATCAAATTTGAATTATTAATCTTCGTCTTAATCTCCACTCGTAGTTGTAGCTAAGGAACGATAGTATCAATGCTCTTTTCCTTTCGTTCCAAGTTCACTTAGGGTGTCGAAGTGTATCAATATTAGATATAAACCCCCTCTGTGACTTAAGTACTTTCATCATTGGTTTCTCAGTGACTTATATTTCAGCATCCATTCCCATATATTTATTCTCTTCACAATATCTCCATCTCAGGTAAACTCGGCCGCCCGCCTCGACCGAGTGTGTCTGTTGGGCTGTGGGATCCCAACGGGGTACGGGTCGGCCTTGAACACGGCGAAGGTGACTGAGGGCTCATCGGTGGCGGTCTGGGGATTGGGTACCATCGGCCTCGCTGCCGTCATGGGAGCCCGGAAAGCCAACGCCAAACGGATTATTGGTGTCGACATCAATCCAGAGAAATTCCAAGTCGGTAAGAAGATGTATTTCTCGTCCATCCTTCCTCGAGCGAATGGGAAACCAAAATGCACCATGCCAAGCAAATTTTGAACGGTGGGGTATCAACTGCTGAAAAGGAGAAAACTGCCCGTTATCCTGATTCCCATTCGGAGCAGAGCTACAGATAATTCTCCTATGATTGAATTCTTTTACTCGCAAGAAGAGGAACGAGAGAGTGTTGTAGGAAACATAGGAGACAGGAACCAGGAAGTGTCAAACAGCCTTGAGGCCCGGGATTTGTTTGGGCTAACGCCTTCTTTCTTTGCCTCCATCGTTCAGGTTTTAAAGTATTTTTTTGATAGGTAAACTTTTCCCTCCTATTCCTGCAGAAAATACTATTGACGGATCGGGTGACAGACACACTATGTATAAACGAATCCTTGCAGATGTGCGAAACGCCATCGTATTTGTTGCTCTATCCGCCCACTCTTTCACTTAGCGAAAACGGGGAAAAACGTATTAAGCATACGGATTGAGAAATGAATAGATGGCAGGACGGACCCTGATTTATGCAACATGCTTCCTAACCAGACAAGTCTTGAGAATCTGCGAAACTTGACAGATGAAATGCCTATTGAATCGAGCCAAAATGAGTAACATTGTTGCATATGCCATCAAATAGTCTTTCCATTGACTAAAAATACAGGAAAGAAGTTCGGTTGCACGGAGTTTGTGAACCCGAAGGAACACGAAGACCGTCCGATCCAGGAAGTCCTGGCCGATATGACCGATGGTGGACTAGACTTCACATTTGAATGCATCGGAAATGTCCAGACCATGGTAAGTTTTCACCAATATATGATTTCTTTCACCCAGATTCATCAACATGACGCTCTGCGGTTGAGGCAGATTGCCTTAGAAAGCCTGATCCAAACTGGTAAAATAAGTGGGAAATTTTATGCTAGAGAGCAGCACTAGAGTCGCTGCAGAAGGGCTGGGGAGTATCGACGATCGTCGGAGTCGCCGGAAGAGGACTGGAGCTCGCCTTCCCTCCTTTCCAACTCCTCATCGGACGCAAGTGGACCGGCTCATTCTTCGGGGGTCTGTTCCATCAAGGGATCTTCATAGACTGAACGCTTGAGCTTCAGCTGAATTCCTGCTTTTTCGTGCTTTTAAATGGATCGTTTTCAATTTCAGATGCTTACTCCACCATAAATGGTATTTGACTCGTAGGGTAACCTAACACTTGTGCGGTCATCTATGAACAATTTCCATTATTATTTGCCGAATCGTTTGGATTTTATGTTTAATATTTAATAGGTTTGAGTTTCCATTTACAATACACTCAGAAACCGAACAAAACATAATTGTTAATATTTTTGTCATATTATCAAATTTATGATTTTTATATTGATATCCTCATTTCCATCATATAAATGCTTGGCATGCATGGATGACCTTCCAGCCACACAAAAGCCAGTTCACTCATTTTCTGCTATCTCGTACAAAACCATTCTTTGACGGAAGCATGGGTTACAGATTACAAAGGAGAGGACCTGCCGGCATTGGTAGAGGAATACCTAAAAGGGGAACTCATGGTAGATGAATTCGTCACGCAGGAACTCCAGATGGACGACATCAACAAGGCCTTCGATTCTCTCCGCGGAGGCAAAGGGTAACTTTTCAGGAATTATCTGTTCATGGCAGTGCATTCTAATCCTTTCGTTTCGGTCATATTCTCGTTTATTCTAACGATTTCAGGCTTCGTTCTGTCGTGACATTCTGAAAGGGAGAAGTGCCTACACATTATTGCAGGAGGTGGAAATAAAAATTATCCTTCATATAACCTAGTTATTTAGCTGTTATTTCTGCATTTGTACATTTGTTGGTTGTGACGGCTTTTGCAGTGGCCTGTAGTTGTACTTCGTCCCTGTATGGAGAAAATGCAAACATATGTGCTCTATAATTTACTGGAACAGTCACGAAAACGGAATTGAGCCGATCGAAAGCAATAACCTGAACATAAACATTGAAAGGCACAAAAGTGGAAACGAAATGAAACCGAAATTTAAAACCGACTCAGGCTGACGCCAGTTTGTGGGGTGCTGCAGCACCAAGTGGGTCTCAGAGGAGGCTGGAATCGGGACGTTTTGTAAGCTGTCTGTCGCGGACGCCTGGTAATTTCGATGTTGTCCTGAAAGGGTATTGTACACTGGGCGTCGCTCCCCACACTGCCAACCTTTCTCACCGTCATGTAGCTGAAACTTATCAAAGTCTCATTTTCCGCATTCGCAGAACCTGAGAAACCAAACAATTAGAGCAGGCCAGGTAGCTCAGAATACCAATGTTAATGGGAGGCCAAGAATATGTGAAAAAATTACCATTGCCGAACATAGCATGGTCTTAGAATGAAGTGCAATGAATGCTGTGAATACCAAATACACCACGCTTCCTACAGATATTGCTAATTTCATTCTTTCCGTCAGCTTACGAAGTGTAGAAACACTGGTATATGAGTTAAACATAACTTTTACTCACGTTTTTGTGCATTTCTTTACGCAGGAGTGCCACCACATTTCTTCCCTCAAGGAATGTGAACTAATTCCAATGCTTCCACAGTTACACGATGACAAAGTTGGAGTACCTATTGAATGACCTGTGGCGTTTCTGATATAATTCAGACCTTTCAATGATTCAGGCGTATAATTCAGACCTTTCAATGATTCAGGCGTATAATTCAGACCTTTCAATGATTCAGGCGTATAATTCAGACCTTTCAATGATTCAGGCGTATAATTCAGACCTTTCAAACGGTAACCTGTTATCCATTCTTACCCACAGTATTGCGTAGAAGTTCATGCCGACATGGCAGGTGAATAAAGGAGCAAATGGTGAAAAATGGCCTCTTGGAATTAAACTTCACGTTGCGTCACTTTTAAAATGTGAATTGGACTTTCCACGGCGATTCCCGTAAGTAAACGAATTGTCGCATAACTTCTTGGTTGTACCATACGATCAACAATAAGACTTAGAAATGGGAGAAAATTGAATAAGGAGACAAACACTGCCATCCTCATGCAAAAACATATATTTTTATATTATTTCGGGCGGATGGAGGCGTAGATGGGTAGAACTGTTCACATTTAAAATTCTATAAATCGAGTGAGGACCCTCACAAAATGAGACCTTGGAGAAATGGAGACAATGTATCCAATGAGGATTCCGAGCCGAGATTTGGAGATATAAACTGGAAAGAAAGAGAGATGCGAGCCGAGTAATCTGCTGGCCATTTAAGCCTAGCATTCCAATTACCCAGTGCCTTATAAACAAAAGTAAAAGTCTCTCAAACCGTATCCACTCAACTCAAGGCTTGAAGTTCGAGAAAGGTAGCACAAGCCAGCCGCTCTCTCTAGAAACAACTGAGCGGAAAGCTACTGGAAGACTTACTCGTGTTGACTCCACGGATCCATGTTTCCTGATAGGAACTGCATGATTCATAAGAAGAGCACCTCATTAGCACGTGGCAATTATTCATCCCCCTGCTCACAAAGTAGATATATTCTTAACCTTTTCCCTGGGGCATTGCTGCCTCCACGTTCTAGACGGAATTGAAGGGAAATGGAGCCCAGAACCAAGGAACGTAGGAATATTATTATTCCCCTTCCACTCCAAGTGCGTCATGTTGAAGAGGCAAAGAGAGGGGAGCAAGGCTTCTATCCCCTCAGTCTCTTATTTTCATGAAATCGCAACGTCGAATGCGAAACACTAAAGACGGAACTATTTGCTTTTCCCAATGCTAGATAAAGCTCATTTCTACTTTTCTGATAAGGTCGTGTGTTTGCATTGGCCTACCACCATCTGCCCATCTATTTATCCAGTATATTTAACCAAACGAGCAGGGTTCTTATATTGGGCATGGAATAAGCCATTCAAGAACTTGACAGTCCTAATAGCAGATAAGGTACGAATTGACGAGACACGAGCAAGCAATACCAGTACCAAAATAGGAGGAGTTGGAGAAAGCCAGAGATATGTAAACACGTTAATGGAGTCCTTGTGCACGAAACCATCCGATACTCCCACAAGTTCAGAAAAAAACCAGCCTCCGACACCATCAACGATGGGTACAAGGATTCCACCAACCTTCTATTTCTGCCAGTTCGAAATTTCCCATCTGGGGATGGTCAGTCATTATATTCGGTCATTTCCTGTCGCCAGGCCCTGACACACACACATATGCTACAAAGTGAATGAGTTTCCATCAATCCGTTTAAATCCATGCGAGCATTCATTGCGAAAGATGAAACTCGTCTCTGTCGTCAGCGTCAAATTCGAAAGCCCCTTGGTCTCTCGAAGAAAAGCAAGATGAAACGAGGTAGGCACAAGCTACTTGTCTTTCCATGAGGTACGTATTCGACTCGTTCCGTCTTCAGTATGTCGTCAGTCTGCTGTCAGTACGGCGCTTCCTCCACGTTTCTCTGGGTCTTCACCGCCGAACAGGTCAGACTTCTCCTCCCTGATAAATCTCTTTCTCTGAATCAATTCGAACTTCGTACATGGAGTGTTGATTTCAGAACAAACGATATCATCTTAATGATAATGACATCGCTAGTAGCTGGTTAGCAGTGCAAGTCATGACGGTAAATTCTGGTGCGATGAATCAGACCGATATTCAACCCATAAAGAATAATCTCGGATTATCCGGGTCATATCTCAGCACTTGACACGTAAAAAAAGAATGCGAGCACAAGTCCAGGTAGATATCGACCATTCCAGGGGTCTATCGACCACTTCGAGTTATCTCCCCACCGCATTAAAACAATCTAATTTCTTTGAAATATCAAAATTGTCATTCGTACATCGCAGACCAACGTGTACGGTCCCGGAAAACTCAAGAACGATATCGAGGGTTCCTCCGTTCGCGTCTCATGGAGATGAGAGATGCTATACCGTGTAGGTTTCCATTATTTTATTCGTTTGGTCAGCAACTTTACCTACGCTGCCACGAGCAGCACCGTATCTCCGTTTGCCAGCCACGAGTCCATCACTCGCGAGGGCTGGAAGGGAATGAACATTTTCAGGCTGTGACTCGCACCTTGACCCAAGCTGAACGCAGTTCGTGCGCATTGAGTCCAGAACGACAATATACTGCATACCGGTTGGTAAGGCAGGCAAGCAAAGACAGAATAAGCAACCACTCTCTGGTAGTATTTGTTCTCCTAAAATCCACCATGAGAGTGATTGATAAAGAGAGGGGGCGAGAGACGCCAAACAAAGCCTGAAGTCGTCGCTTTGTCGGCGGAGCTTCTCGAATTTCGGAAAGGGAATTGAGAATATAATGAAACCTAGCACTCAACCTTATCTTCGTATTCTTTCTCTCTTCGGTGAAGGGCAGAAGCTCCGGGGACGCACGGAACAAGTCCATTCTTGCTGTCAATTTACCACCCAGCGCCATGATGGGGTATATTTTGCGGATAACTTCACGTCTTAATGTGAAGAAAAAAAATTAGTTCCAGCATTGGGCGGAAGAACAGCATGCGGCAGAGCGGGATGAGCTAAATGCTACTCAACATGGCATATGGCAATATCATGGCACATCCGGGATATGTGGGGCCGATATGGGCAGCCCACTGAGATATGGGCCAACGCTCCCTCACTCACAGTCAAAGTGAACCCAACGTGGTGTACTGCCTGGGTCCCGGATGCCAATGGAAAAATTCCCTTGATATTTTTACGACAGCGTATCTTCTTCACCGACAACATGGGGAGGTCAATGGAATTCTTGAAAGCCTTGAGAGGAAACGCCGATCAGCGAGAGACTCCTGGTCATTATGGCCGTGGATCATGAAGTAGCGTGAAAACTTTAAGTCCAGACTCTCCTCCCCCCCCCCCCCCTCCACAAGATTCAATACAGCGTTTGGCTTAGGCCGAATCCGAGAACTGTATTGAAGCCGGGTCTAGACCGGCCCTTTTTCGCTTCAAAATAATCTCAACCCAAGTTATGGGGCCAATGAGACCCGCAAGGGCAAATCTCGGGGTTTTCAAGACATCTCAGAAAGGACGCATGACGTTACGAAAATCATTGGCCTATTTCGATCTTTACTGACTGTTTCGTTGAAGACGTGTTACGCTGGTTATCTGGCTATCCGACTTCCTTCAACATTGAAACGCACGCTTGGCGCCATCCCGCTCGTCCAGGAATGTCCAGGAATGCATGAGTGGGCAGCGAAGCAAAATTGGGAGTCATGAATCCAACGCAACTCAAACACATCAGGAAGCCGTGGGGGGCGGATTGAAGCCCGCACATTAGGTTTAAATAAACCACCTTTAAGTAAATTTTCACGGCGGAATGGCGCTTCACCAGCAACGACGTTAGACAATGGTCTTTCGAATGTCTTCGATTAACGTCGTGGGTTTGTGTTAAATCCTGAAACTCTCTTCTTCCTTCATTAGGGCCAACATCGCCAGACGTCTCCCTGGGCTGACTTTCATCTTTGAATAATATTATCGTGGAATTACAATGTATTGCGCTTTGCTGTAAGAAGGAAAAAAAATCAGGTGCTCTATGTACGAAATCCCAGAGGCGTGTCTTAGTTTATTCACTGGCGACTCACTGGGTTGGCGACTGAGGTGCCATCTTAAATCGGTAATACTAACCTTACTAATACATGAATATCCAACTGCTTCGCCAAATGATATCAAAAGGACAATAGGATAGCATCCTTATCAGATTACTGAAAAGGCGAACAATACATGGACCTCTGATAAACTAAGCCTCTGGAAATGTTGCAAATCGAGATAAGGAGACGACAAGATTTCATCTTCGATTAACCCCCTCCTTCGCAAGATTGGGCCGAGGGTGGTGCGTTATGTTTGGGAGCTCCTGGAACATGACTACGACCCTGTTTTTGTGGTCGAGTCAGAGCACCCAATGGGGTGAGGAATAGCGATCTGGCAGGGGTAAACAAAGAGGGATGAGGATGACTCCAGACTTTGACAGTGAAAGGATTAATGCATTCCCCGACGGAGCTCACTTGCTCCCACCTGATTGTAAGGAGAGCCTGCACACTCTTAGGAGTGCTACGCGAGCCTACTAGGGAGGGAATGAACGTGAAGGGGGAAAATGATCATGCAAGTGCATGCACACTCATTTTGCAAGAATCGCAAACCATGCAATCACGTTTATTATTTGCTGTGTAGTCCGGATGGTTCGAGGAATTCCTGATTGGCCTAACATTCCACGTTCAAACCGAATTGGGTTATGAAACTCCAAAGCGGCTCATAATTAGTCTAATGCCACTCATCCTCACAGAAGACCCCGACATCAACCCTAATAGGCCTAATTTTCCCCATAAGTCGAGGGCTGAAGTTCATTTGAAGGGGAAAAGGTAGGCCTAGGTCTGACCTGATGTCAGTTCGTGGGTTAGGCCGAAGCTGAATGTTAATGAGTCCCGTAGAGGAGGAGGAAAATAGTCCTCATATTTCCTTGTACTTCTTTTGTTGGGCAATCTCCTCCTAAAGCAACCCAGGAGGGGCAACCTACTGTTGGTGGGGGCCTACAAGTAAATGCCGGTAATAAAGTTACATTTTCCAAATGCGAGATTCTCCGTTCTGACGACAAGAAATATGCCTGTTTCCGTTCCTAGAAATGCTCTCAAAGAGGAATGAGATCAGATGGAATATTGCAATTGTAATGAATTGAAGAAAGCAAACAGGTGCAAATGTGTCTAATGATCTAAATTTTAATATGAAAAGTGCGCTTCGATTTAAAGCGAAATTCTCTACTAGAAAAAACAATTTCTGCGCCGAAAGGTGCCAGCGAGAAACTGCCCTTTGGGTCCGCAATTTCCCTTTTCAGCCAAAGCTTGTGTGGTGACGAGACTCTGTGAATATAACGAGCCGAACTTCGGGAACGTTTTTCCTCGGCCGGCCTTGACTCACCCGGAATTCATGGAAATGCATGGAGACATTTATATAGAACGCTAGCGCATTCCGCGAGAGAGGCCCTGACCTTGAACATCCCCCGCCGTGGAGGGTATGGAGGCCTACAACGGACCGAACTGCGATAAGTGGGATGCATCTCCGTCGCCTCCGGCGAACTTGGCAGAAGTCCAGGCCACCATAGAAACGCAGAGGAAAGCGAGGGACACACGATTGCGCGCATCTCGCTGAGTCGGTTCATTCACCTCCTGTCTGCTGGTCACTCAACGTCCTGCTCATCCTCGTTCCTGCACAATGGCTTCCACTGCCGGACAGGTCAGAACTATTTCCTCATCAATCAGTATTTTTCGACGAATCCGCCCAGATTTAATTTGTAGGTAGAGTGATGATGGCAGACTATTGATACGGAGGGGGAGTGGAGTGGAAACGGACGACGGAAGGCATGAGAGGCCGAAAGAAAGCCCGGGAACGGGCGAGACTTGAACCCAGCCCTCCTGATTGCCGGTCAGGTGTGCTACCACTACACCACCGAACCCGGGACTTTCAGTCGTGCCCCTCGATGCCATCCTCATCCGTCACAATATCTACTTTATCATAATACTGATCGGTAGCACTATGTTAATAGTGGGAGTTCTGACCGTTATTATTATTATTATATTTGTGTTGAGAATTCTCATTCTCATTCTAAGAGCTTGGTATGCCTGTCACTTGTATTGACGCAAACCAGGCATTACTAGGCACCTCCTTCTAGAAGACGATTCACTGTCGCGAACTCGAGAGAGGGGTACTAAGTCAACCGGCTCTCAGATATTGTGCGGCTAGCTTTACGATGTACCCAATAGTAAAAAAACACATATCTCAATTTAACCCTCTCCTTTCAAACGTTCCTATTCTTTGGATAGCTGTCCTTTTAGTACCCCTCTGTCGAGTTCGCGACAATGAATCGTCTTCCAGGAGGAGCTGCCTAATAATGCCTGGTTTGCGTCAATATGGTGATAGGCATCCCTAGCTCTTAGAATGGAATTGTCTGCCTTTCTCCGTCCAAGTATGTCTGGCCGTGTCTGCGATTTCTCAGTTCCTTCTCTCGTAAAAATTTTTTTCCGATCGCGAACTATGGTTCCACAATTGCTAGACCACATATTGCTTCAGTTGCCCGATAGAAAAATTGCACTCAATAATGATAATTATTACATTATTTATCAAGTGTTGCATGCTTATTTTTACCTTTTTTGTATATCGTCCTCAAAATACAGCTGACTCAGAAATAAAAGCCATAGAGTGGCTGCATGCATGTTTATGCCTCCATCCTTGATAGGATTTGAAATCTCCCGATAATATATGGTCATTACCAAATAAGTTTAGATAATGCATCTCATTTCTGGAAATAGCTGTTTAGCGTGAAGTACAAGGATATGCTGACTTTCAATGTACCTCGTAGCCTCCTTGTAATAACATACTTTTTAGCCACGGTCGTACAATTCTGTGAAACAAGGATGCAGGCCGTTTTTTGTCAACAGCTTCAGTGCTGCCGTAGCTATCGATTGCACATCCTTTACTTCATCAAATCGGCGACCCTTGATGTGACACTTCGGATGCAGTAAGAGGAAGAAGTCACACAGAGCCATTTGTAACGAGTATCCCGTACGGAGATGAACACTTTGTGCTTCACGAGGTAGGTCGCCACGGTGATTGATGTGTGGGTCGGATGTGTGCTGTCATCCAGTAGTCACTCTCTAGATCCCCAGTTACGTGGCCGCCTGAACGTTGGATGACATTTTAATGGGATGCCCAAATTATAGTGCCCCAAAGTGCACTATGGATTGGGAATAATATTTAAAAAATTGGTCTGCAACCCTGCTTTACCTAACTGCCTAAACGTGGTATAAAAATTGTGTGAATGCCCAAGGGAGAGCGCTTTGAAGGGCATCATATCCTCGTGCTGTACCTCACACTTAAGAGGTATTTCCGGAAAAAAATATGCATCGGAACCTTGTGATTCGCCCTCGCAAGATACCTGAAATACTTATGCAAATAACGTCCTGTCCAATCTTCACTTTAGTCCGTGAGAAGACCAGAACCAAAGACCAAATGGGAAATTTCAGCTAATTTGCCATTTTCTTCCCTGAATAACGTCTGATGAAACTAAATAAATCGTAATTGAAGTGTGGGAAATGAGGTGCTTCTCATTTGAAATCGATATTTAACATAGGCAGGTTCTCTTAGATTCTTCGCGAATCCGTTGTTTAATTCATGAACGTAGTCCTACTTACCATAATCGAATAGACCTTCCTTAGCAAGCTGGACACTTCCAAGATGAAGCATCAAAATGTATAAATTATTTTTTATTCCCTTGCCTTTCAATCGTCTCTTAATTGATGGTCCATGAAATTCTCGAGGGGAATAGTGCCTCAAAATGCAGTTCATCACGGGGTAGGAGTCATAATTGCCTTTGAACCCAGTTTCATTGAGAGAAAAATTGGTTTCATGAGACTTTTTACGATTGCGATATGTGAGTCCCCGTCTGACAATTTTCTTCCATTTAAATGCAGGTTATCAAGTGTTTAGCAGCTGTGGCATGGGAACCGAATAAACCCCTAAGCATCGAGACTGTGGAGGTTGCACCTCCTAAGACACACGAGGTCATTCTTCACTGCCTCTTTTCTTTGTGGCAGCTTGGACTTCTGCAGAAGTAAACCTGTTCGAGCAAGTCTTTATTGTTTTGCCTTTAAGGTGCGGGTGAAAATCCACTCAACGGGGGTGTGCCACACAGATTTGTCGACTTTGTCGGGTATTAACCCCGATGGTCCGGGTAACCTGTTCCCAACCATCCTGGGTCACGAGGGCGCCGGGGTCGTCGAGAGCGTCGGTGAAGGGGTCACTAATGTTATGCCAGGTAATATATATCTGCAAACAAATATGGGTGGAAAATATTTGTTTTAGGTTAGTTCAAATGATGGATTTATAAGTAGAAAAATTAAGCAATCGCCATTTATTTCTAACAGCAATATCTTATATCAATATCTGTAGGGTTTGTCGTTTCTAGTCATAACGTTTTCGTCATGGACATTTTCAATGACTTCACCCTTAGCGGACGCTCCCAAGGTGTTACCCAATTGTCCTTCAAAGTCAGGTGATAGTAATGAATGTGGCACTGTCTACTGATCAGCAAGGCACTCCCGCAAAAGAGAATGATCTGCAGCGCAGTAAACCGAGCCGTGAGAAAGAAACTTTTGGAATCAGGAAGAAGATTCTCCGAAAATGAGAATTGTGTCATATTTACCACTTGGGAGATTCGGAATTCCCATAGCTTCCACAAAAACCCACGATACATCAAGAAGACACCAATGTTTGTAACCTATTCGCAAATCTCACACCACTCGATTCCATCCATAGGAGATCATGTGATCCCGCTGTGGCTGCCGCACTGCGGCACATGCCATATGTGCCTGTCTGGAAAGACGAACATATGCGAAAAGGCATTCGCGACTTTCCTGAGCGGGATGCTCCTGGATGGCACCTCCCGCTTCACCTGCAATGGCAAGATCATCTACCACTACGTGGGCACCTCCACCTTCTCGCAGTACACTGTCCTCCCAGATATATCCGTTGTAAAGGTGAGAAGAAACTCCAGATGATCGCTTCCACTTTCAACCCTGTGTCACTTTGTCCGCGGTTTTCGATTGACGAGAATCTTAAGAGTGTGAAATAATATATGAGCTAATATAATATTGGTGGAAGAACCTTCCACACGTGATGGGTTTTAGATGAAAAACACCATGTCCCCCATGCATGCCTCAACCAATAAATGAGCCAATGATTAAATCATCGTTTCACATTAACCCTCTTGGAGATGAATACTGAGAGCTCGTAACTCATGAACTTCCGAAGAAAGTTCTTTCTTTAAAATGTCGCTTCTTTTCCCCCTATTGTAGGTGAACCCATCGGCCCGCCTGGATCGGGTGTGTTTGATTGGCTGTGGGATCCCGACAGGGTATGGGTCTGTCTTGAACACAGCGAAAGTGGTGGAGGGCTCATCGGTGGCAGTCTGGGGACTGGGCACCATAGGCCTCGCGGCTGTTATGGGGGCCCGGAAAGCCAAAGCCAAACGCATAATTGGCATTGATATCAACCCTGAGAAATTCCATATCGGTATGACACTGAAAAGTGGAGCGCATATATTATTATCATCAGTGACTTTCTCGAGTAAAATTGCTCTTCAAATTCCTATTTCAACCACAAGTCTGATTGCATTAGTTTGATGAATCAAAATCCTTTCTCTACTGCATGTATTCGTATTCGGTATGGAAGTTACACTTCCATACGACGAAGAGGCTAATTGTTTTGAATACCACGTAAGCATCTTATTTTGGTTCAGTATCGCCTTTTTTGCGCTTCATTATTTATTTAGAGCTATTGCTTATTGGGTGACATGTACCAGATTCGATTAACTTAAAACTGATTCATTTTCGTAATGGGGGTCTATTGGAATCAGTTTATCTATGTTTAACTGATTCCAACAGGGGACCATTACGAGATCAGATTAATTTAGCTGATTCGGATTCGGTGCATGTCACCCATTGTCTTTATTATCAATATACCCTATATCATTGAAATACCGTCTACTGTATGAAGGAAAAAAGTTTGGGTGCACGGAGTTCGTGAACCCAAAGGATCATGGAGATCGTCCAATTCAGGAAGTCCTTTCGGAAATGACAGAAGGTGGATTGGATTATACCTTCGAGTGCATAGGAAACGTTCAGACAATGGCAAGTCCTCCTGTGGAGAATTCATTCGGATCAAATATACCAACCCGACAGGAAAATTATGCAAACAGGAAATAAAAATAAATATTGAGCATACGCAAGTTTGCCTCTTTGAAACAAGCGCTTCCTTAATTCCTTAATTAAGTGCTTTAATAAATCTGAGCCCATATTCCATTCATTCAATAATTAGCCATATTCCCCAAATATATGCCTTTGGCTTTGTCAGAGGGTGGCGCTGGAATCACTGCGTAAAGGCTGGGGAGTATCGACGATCGTTGGAGTTGCGCAGAGGGGACTGGAGATCTCCTTCACTCCTTTTGAGCTTCTCGTCGGACGAAGGTGGACCGGTTCCTTATTTGGAGGTCTGTCTGATGAATTTCTTTTAAAAGCACGAGATACATTCGTTTTTTTGCTCATTTTCCAAGTTGTAGGGCAGCTGTCTTAAGACTGGAGTCGCACGAGGCAGTGGAAAGCCTAATGGTGGTGGATGCCGGCGTGACACGGGGACCCCGGGCATGGGGCCCGGGATCCATTGCCTATTTTGCCCTCCTTTCTCTATGGGCCTGCTATTAACTTCGTCGTGCGACTCCAGTCCAAAGATGGCGGGGGTGCTTGGAGAGACTCGCCGGCCCGCACGGTAGGGGAGGCCTCTCCATTATATACTCTCTATGGTGTGAACCTATTACTATGACTATGAGAGAGGACGCGCAATCGCGCAATGCGTGCGTGTATCATATGTGTGCAAGCGCATGCCACCGATGGAATCAATACTTAAGTATGATACTTATTCTGCACATGTGCAAAGCACTTGTCACACATTGCCTTCTCACACATGGTAAAGTTGTCATGCGTCTTGTTCCCCCTTATCCTGATTATAGTAATTTTCATTATTTAGGCTTATTTCATTTTCGTTTCTAGATTCAGCTTCAGATAAGTACTGTAATAGCTGCAAGCATTGCATGCAGTATCACGATGTTTTTTGCATGTCACCCAATGATCGAGACTCATCGAAATTTCTTATTATCCTGCTTTTCTACAAATCATCAATGCCATATTTTATATCGTAGATTAGCCTACTTCATCTCGTCGATATGTTGGAAATGGTTTTTCCATTTCCATTTCTATATTTGCTAGAATACGCTTGTTTCCCATTCGTTTTTTCCAGGCTTAAAAGCTGAATCAGCTGGATTTAAAATGGAATTTAAATGATGTGATGGCATTCTTTGTCATTGGTAATAGCATCGCAGAAATTGAAGTATGAGCATTGCTAGGGGGAAAAAAGTAAGCCTTCCTTTTCCTACTAAATTATTTCATGAAAATTAGAATTCGCTTTGACACGTTTATTTAACACGTTGACTGCCCCTGCCTAGTCAACTAGCGATCAATGGTAGCAGAACCATTTTGTTGGGATGGGCAATCAATGTGTTAAGCGATAGCAGGAAATAGTTTTGAGCTTTTTATTTACAATGCCGCTTTCAATCGTTTTTAATTTTTAATATCCATTGTGTAAGACTTTAAGAAGCCTTCGGATATATTCTTCCTTCAATGCATTAATATTTGAGCAATTATATCAGTTGTTACAGACTTTCATGTCTTCATGGTTTACTTACTAGGTTTTTTTTTTCTCCGGGGAAAGGAAGGTGAACTTTTTCCTTTCTTCTGGACTTCTCTTCTTTCCAAGAAAATAACCGGCGAACCATGTCTTATTCCCGTGTATAATTCGGCCTGTAGACATCTAATGGGCAAAATGTGTGCCTATCAGACCCTCCTATTTATCACCTTGCGAATATTTCGATGACCCCTTTTAAATTCCATTTAAAGGAAATTTTTATTGTAGGTTACAAAGGAGAGGACATACCCGGACTGGTGGAAGAATACTTGAAAGGTGGACTAATGGTGGACGATTTCGTCACTCAGGAACTCAAGTTTGAAGATATCAATAAGGCCTTCGATTTTCTCCGAGATGGGATCGGGTACCTCCCTCATCACATGCGTTTTACTCTTTCTTTGACCTTTATCGGACGGATTTAAATATCTCGCGTAAGCGCTGACAGATATTTTCTATGAAGGTCGTTAACACTCGCTAACTGAGCAATTAATAACCTAATATCAGAGCATTTTCCCAAAAAGTTGCTATAAAGCATTTGTACATTCAGGCCATTGGACAAATGGCACAGAAGTTGTGACATTCGTCCGATTAAGGTTAAAGTGAGTGCATTTTCTAGCTTTGGCTTATGATATGCTCTTTCCTATTGGAAAATTTCAGACTCCGCTCCATCGTGACTTTGTGAGGAGGATCTTGAAGATGGTGGAAATAAATCGGATTGCTTTGGAAAAATTCGTTCTTACTCTTTGGTTGTCCTTGTAAATCCATGCAAAATTGATGAGAATTCTCCATCGAGCCCCTGCTATTTTCAAAGAGGAAGGCCCACGGAGATGCAGTTAAAAGGATGAAGTAGGAGTATAAGTCCCTTCATAATGGTGTCTCTGAATAATTTTTTGCATCCGTGCAATCAAATCAAGAATCAGGAAAAATCTGCAATTACACCATGGATCGTGTATTAACCAAAAATTTCCTTGCAAGAACAATACGAAGTTATAACTGTTCACCACCAAGTACGTCTACGAATCGTTTCCAAATGTATCCAGGATATGAATTTAAACAGGCGCAGGATGAAGGGTCAATGATAAACTGATTTTCCCCTAAGAGAAAGTTAAGAATATGTTTGGGTTGGAAAGAAAGTCTTGCAACACTCTCTAAAACTATTTTTAAAAATTTTCAAAGGAATGATGGGCGGGGCTTTGAATTTGTATATGCTAAGATGTTCTCGAAGCTTCTGCCCTCGGGGTATAAAAGGCGGCTTCTGCCATTAGTTGGCAGCCAAGGCTCCGATCGAACGAGCAACTCTTCGCCCCATCGTCTACTACGAGTTCCTCGAAGGACACTCTGCGAGAGCCGCCACGGACAACATCTGCGCTGCAATCAAGGGCAACGTCGTCCACTATTCCACGGTGTCTCGATGGTTCAAACGCTTGGAATCTGACGACACGACCTTCGGAGATCGACCGCGCTCAGGACGTCCATCGACGTCGATGACGAAGCCCTGCGGAAAACCCCTCAACGCGAAGCCGAACGCCACCACTCGCGAATTCGCGATTACACTTGGAGTCACCCATATGGCCATCGGCAACCATCTGAACGACCTCGGCTATAGGAAGGTTTACTCGAGATGGGTCCCTCATCGACACTCGCGAATCGGCGACTACACTTGGAGTCACACATGTGGCCATCGGTAACCATCTGAACGACCTCGGCTATCGGAAGGTTTACTCGACATGGGTCTCTCATCGGCTCGGCGACTCTGACAAAGCAAGCGGTGTCAGTGTCTGCGAATCACTGCTCCTTCGTCCGCACAGAAAGGACCTTCTGAAAGAAATCGTTACTGGAGATGAGAGTTGGGTCCTCTACGTCAAACATACTCGCAAGAGTCCGTGCCAATTGCCGCCATATGAACCGAAACCAGGGTTCCACGAGAACAAGGTTCTTCTCTGCTGTTGGTGGGATTCAAAAGGAATGTTGTACTATGAGCTCTTGCCAACCGGTACAACCGTGACTGCCGTCGTCTACGGCTACGCTGCTCAACTTTAGAAGTTGGCTGGCGTCTCTCAAAAAGAGCGTCTCAAACGCGAAAAAGTTCTATTTTTGTATGACAACGCTCGTCCACGTGCTGCGAAGATGACTCGCCAGACAATTTCGGAACTGGGCTGGGAAGTTTTACCCCATCCAGCATATATAAATACAAAGCACCCAAACGCGACAAAGTTCTCCTGCATGACAACGCTCGTCCACATGTTGCGAAGATGACTCGCCAGACAATTTCGGAACTGGGCTGGGAAGTTTTACCCCATCCAGCGTATTCTCCGGACTTGGCCCCTTCCGACTATCACTTGTTCCGAGCCCTCAAGAATCACCTGCCGGACAAGGCCTTCGACGATCAAGAACAGCTCGAAAATGATGTCGGCTGTTTCTTCGCTTCGCAATCGCCAGAGTTCAGGGCAAAGGGCATCGAGCAGTTGGGAACATGTCATATACAACAATGGTCATGACATTGTAGACTGAAATTGCATTTCAATAAAGTTATAACATTTTTAAAAATGTGCGCAATGTTGCAAGACTTTCTTTCTAACCCAATACATTATCGGATCATATTGCATTAGCATTCGCTTAAATTAGTAAATGATTATCTTCATAGCATTAGACCTATCTTAGATGACAAAGCGTTGGCGGTCTGCCCTTTCTTGACTCACGCAGGATGGAAGTTGAAATGCTTCTCGCTTCCCAACCCAAGCCTTGAACCTTGACCCTGCCAGTGAGATAACACTGCATATCGTATCCGTATCTGAGACTTACGAATACTGTCCAAATGAAGTGCTTCTCAGATTATCTTTGAAACGCAGCATGGTATCGAAAAAATATACTGTCAACACCTTTGCCTTTGTTGACTATGAAGGCAAATAGACTTTCAACGCCTCTCTATCCTCCTTCACCTTCCTTCCTCATGAAAAAGGGAAAGATGGAACCAGGAAAAAAGGTCGGAAAATAAATATCTATCCTTTATTCTGGTCCTGTCTTTCCCTTTCCCCAATCTGAATCCGGCTTCCCGATTCGAATGCCCGTATAATATCCTGTTGGGCGAGAAATGAAAGGCCTTTGAGAATGAGTCCTTCGCAACCTTCTGTGGGTCCTATCCCTTCCTCATTTCTTGTAACCCATGCATTCGTTACAGACCCAGAAATATGGGGTGGATTGCATGAAACTGACTCCTGATGAAACCTCGTTTATCGCCGCTAAAGGTGGTTTACAGCTCCATTAGGCTGAAGTCATATTCATGCAAACATCCCATGAATTGGAGAATTCAACAGAAGTCGTTTTCGAAATGAAATTTGAGAATCGGCCTCACGAAAGGGAGGGATGGCAACGTTCACGGAAAATCGGAGATTCGGTCTCGCCTCGCCATCTCTCGGATGAAAGAGGACACAAGTGTTGCGGTGGTTCTCGCAAGGGAACGACGGGCATCGCTCACTGCAATGCCTCCAGCCTGCTGCCGTGAATCGAGGGATTTCAAGCATCCTTGATGGAAATTGGTGAGATTCGGCAGTTCGTCGCCAGTTGCGTTCATACGGGCACTGCAAATAAGAGCATCATCGCACTTTCCTCGTGGATCTCTCAAATAGCAAAATGTCAAAATTGCCGAATGACGTGCTCTTTAGACACTTCTTACATCATCTTTAGTCATTTGAAAGCGTTCACGAATGACGCCAGGAAGACGACAAGCGCGAGAGTTCTTCAAAGGTTCCATTGTTTTCCGGTGTCGCAGTCGCATTGGTTGATGACAAAACAATTAAAAGTAAATTCTGTAGGAGCGGGAGCTTGCAGTAAAAAAAATTGGTTTCCGAATCATGACCGCTGTTTGGTGCGTGTTCCCTGTCGGAAAACGTTGGGAAAAAATGAAATTGGAGAGAAATTCACTCATTTTTCATAATTAATTCCTAGTCTACAAAATATTGTTGATGTTCTTTCCTTCATTCCTGGTCAAGGAAATTCCTTAGGCAGCGCTGAATTGCAACGGCTACATTTTCCGTAGTATCTATGTGACAACTTGATGAAAAAGGGGCGCAGAAGTTTGATAATGCGCTCCATCTCATAATTGATTATTCGTTCCCAGGGAATTCCTCAGGATTACATTACGATTTAATTTTCAATTTTTCTCCTCGTGTCTCATTCTGTATGGAGAGTGCATGCAGTATTTGAGGTACCTTTTCTTTCCTTCGACACGCATTATTATATGAGGGGGGCATTGAGATTGCGCCCACCAGTGTGGAATGCGTTTGGATTCTCTCGGCTTGACTCCGTCTCCTAGGCCCCTCACAATGCTCATTGCTCCCCGAAATTGTGGGAGAAATGCATGAGGTATTGCAACATTGACGCGAGGACATTTCGCTAGTACTGTGCTCCGGTGATCAGCTTTCTCAGCCTCTCGTGACCTAGACGGCTAGATTAAAGACCGAGAGCTCAAAATCTAACTTAGCCGACATCCATGCTGTTAAAGATGAACTATTGCTTGGAGACGTAATGCAAGGTGTCCAGGCGTGTTAAACTCTAATTTACCCCTCACGCATTTTAGTGCACTGAAATTGTTTCCTTACTCCATCATTCGCTCACTTGCCATCGGCACTGCATCATGGCATCGAAGAAAAAATTAAAAATAAGCCTCAGTAACGTCATGACAGAGATTAAAGCCATAATGGTGGAGTTAATGCAAACTATGAAAGGCATAAAAAAGGAAGATGGAACACATTGTGTCAAGGCAGGACAAGTTGGAGAAAAGGAATGGAAGATCAGAAAGATTTGGTAGGAAAGAGTACGTGTAGTAGGAAATGAATCGTGGACTTATTTGGTGGTGAATGGTTATAGCTTCATATCGTTCCTTCAAGGAAATGCTTGCTTAATACTAGGGGTGGGTTTCGAACAAGACCTTGAACTTCGTTTCATGCCAAGTCTTGATGAGATCTCTTCTACCCTTAACGTCCAATCATGTGGAAATAAACTTTTTATTTTTTTATTAGGTTTTTTCCTCCCCTCATTTTACGTAGTTGCAACATCGTTGTAGCGCCCTGCAATGACTGGGGCTCAGCCCGATCACCCCGACCCGACCCGACTTGCGGTCGTCTACACTCTTGAAGAAAGGGGAGCCATTTTTCTAAGGGGAGCGAAAAAAAGAGAGTAAAATCGCTAACTCAAGTTGCACTCCCCTTTCACTCTGGGAAAAGAGCGAATTTGCTCCATCACTAAGGAGTAACATTGCTCTCCTTCACGATGAGTAAAAACGCTCCCCTCAGAATGATGTAGAGAAGTCATGGAAATACGCAATACCCTTATATATCGATACATTGTGTCGCTTTCGCTCTATACAGCACAGGCATTGTCCTACTTTGACTGTATTGATTACAGTACGTCCCAGGGGATGGAACACCTCTTACGGTTCCATGAAGTGTCCGTCATGTCAGTCCTTCATTTCCTCCTTCTCTCATCAAGTCGAGAAAGTGATAAGATTCATTCCATGGACGTCCCCTATGTATTCTAGATCTCCTCTGCGGATGAAATCGTTGTGAGTTTCAAAAGGGTTCTTATCAGGAATATGAGCATGTTTCATGGCCTGGGCTCTATGAATCTGTCTTGAATATGTGGATAACAAATAATGGAAAATCCGCGTTTATTGATTCCTATAATGAGAAAAGCCGAGACATACGAGGGTCACTCAATAAGTTATCTACCTGAATATGAAAGAAACATCGGAGGGGAAAAATAACACTATTTTTCAATGTAGTCACCTTTTAACTCAACACACTTATTCCACTTTGATTCCAAGGATTTTATTCCCTGGGAATAGAAGTCAACTTCTTGTCCATCAAACCAATCAGAAATGGTAACTTTCAGCTCTTCATTGCATGACAATCTTTATCCGCGCAAAAATATTTTCAAGTGTCTGAACAGAAAATAGTCACTAGGAGCCAGATCCGGGCTATACGGAGGAACGTTGAGCTCATGAAAGCCACACTCCCTCACTGCTGCCTGAACTTTCCATGATTTGTGGACGGGCGCGTTGTCATGGAGAAGAAGGTCCCCCCCTTGACAACATTCCTCTGCATTTTTCCTCGATGGCATCGTGTAAATTTTTCATGGTGGTAGCATAAGAAACGCCGGTGATTGTACACTCGTCTGGCATGAACTCAAGCAGCAGTAGTCCCTCGCTGTCCCAAAACACAGTGGCCATAATCTTTCCTGCAGATTTCTGAACACGAAATTTGCGAGGCGTTGGCCATCCCTTGTGCTTCCACTGCATGGACTCCTGCTTGGTTTCGGGATCCCAGTGATGAACCCAAGTTTCATCACCAGTTACTATTCTGGGAAAAAAGTTTCCCCGATTTGTTTAGAAAACTCCAAGTTTTCCTTGCAGATGTCAGATCTGTTCTTCTGAGCTGGAGTCAGCATTCATGAGACCCATCAAGAACTGACTTTGGACATGTGTAATTTTTCATGAATAATGTGAATCACTGTGCTCTTTGAAATCCCTAGTTCATGAGCTAAAACAGAGATTTTGGCGCGACGATCTTCCAGTATCGTACTCTCCAATTTGTCACAAATTTCCTGATCAGAAGCCTCCACAGGGCGCCCCGACCTTGGGTCATCTTCAATCGACTCTCTTCCCCACTTAATCTGATTGCTCCAAAATTTAACTTGGTAATAAGTAGGCGAAGACACACCATAAACGTTCGACATACGTTAATGGATCTCCTTAGGTGCTTTCCCTTCTTTGGTGAGGAATTTGATCACTGAACGATGTTCAACTTTCGTCAAATCCATGACACAGACTCAGGAAAAGAAATTAATGCGCTACCACTTTGAACGGACTTGAGCCACTGAGCTGGTATAGTGGTGGGGTACTCACGAGACCTGTCGAGACATGTCACAGCAGACACAGGCCTGTTGCTCATCCCTTTCATATTCAGGTAGATAACATATTGAGTGGCCCTCGTACGTCGAGGTGCAAAACAATCCTGCGAGGGACGATTCCAGAGAAAGAGGGAAGGGAACTTTCGTGTACTGTGCGAAAAGCGAGACCCTGTTCATATAAATTGTGTAACCTCCGACTCGTGTAATCTCCTTCCATTTCAGCACCCAATGTTGCCTTACATACACGTCACGAAGTGGCTTCCAAAGCCATTGATACCATATGCAGCGCCGAAATCAATAAAATGTGACTTTTCAGTTACCTTCATGGCATTGTAAACATGAACAACGTCGCTTAGCTTGCATGGGCTGACGAAAATCCTCATGGAATAATCCAAGCATCATTGCATGACTTCAAAAATGGACTTGCAATTGCATGGTTGGTTCACTTCCGTAAGTGAACCAACCATACAGTTCCATGTCCAATTTTCTCTTGCGAATAACTGCTCCAATTGAATCTAATGGTTGACACTTTTGATTCAATGATCATGCTATTCTAACATGTTTTTTTCCAATATTCTGGAGGAATTGCAATGGTCAATCCCAATTATTTTCCCTGTGGTTTCTTAAAAAGCACAATTTTACCCACATTCATGTTACACTGAACTGTTCAGAAAAAGAAGAATCAAATACCGAATAAGGAACAACAAAGTGAAATTACGTTTGAACCATCCTGTATATCAAATGTTGAGAGCGGCAATGGAGGGTCTCCTGTCAGTTTCGGTCGATGCCGCTAAGTATTGCCTTCGATCTTGAGATCGATGAAAGTAACTCTCCATTCGTAGGGAGACGCTCTCCATTCCCTATCAATATGATTATTTAGGAAATAGTGTAATGTTTTGGTCTTCGGGATCCGAAACAGTACGGCAACGTTATGATTGAAGCGTGAAACTCCCAAGGAATGAGTAATCATAAAGTCCTTAAATCTCGACTCGTATTCGGCTAATGTGGGTTTCACCATGGGAATATATATTCTAAATATACAAGGTGAGGCAAAAGTTACTGTACAGTTCTTCTCTCCTGGAAATAGCTGCTTTGTCGATATGGTCCTCTTTGTTTTAAATTAATACTTTTGGAATAGAAAAACTGCAAGCTTTTTGAAATTACGTTCCGTGATGATTTTTCTGTCATTTGTTTTTCTTTGGTGTAAATAACGGCCAATATGACGTTAGAAATTAAACTGCGTTTTATATTCAACGACAATATAGCGACCTTTACCCCACTCTGTTTACATAGATGAGCCCTTGAGTTTCCCTTTCCTTTGCAATTAATTATTCAGAACTTGTGTTCCCTTTTGCCATA